CTGCTTGCTTCCCTACAACTTCAACATAGAAAAAGAAAACATTGCTTCTTCCCTGCCTGGATCTGGAAAGATATCGAGAATAAAATTCTCAGCCCTACTCTAGAAGATGATCCAACTTCACCCCCACGTGAATACTGCCACAAGGAAAACTTCATAGGCAATAAATACCAGTCTTATTTTGCAAAGATATATGCCTATGTACATATCTAAGTAAAATAAAGGAGGGCTATTATCAGCCCTTCAAGGTAGACCAAACTAGGAAACTAGCCATGTATGCTAATACTACTTTCATTATAAGATTATAGGAACAGAATATTGCAAGTCCAAATGTGTTTTCCCCCTCCCTCTTTCTCTGAACTAGGGAGGGTCTTGTCTGAGATTCTTTCTCAGATTACGTTCTGACCCAGACTCAAATTTCTTTTATCTGATTGTTGTCTTGGTTGTGGCTGTCCCTCCTGTTCCTCAAGGTTGTTCCTCCAGTCCATTTGTTATGCATGCTACCTTTTCCTCCTGAAGGAAAGGCAGGATATAACCGTAACAAACGAGCACTCTTTATAAAGGACTGTGTTAAATTAAATTTATTAAATTACTTAACACTGCAGTATCGCTTGGCCAGGAAAGACACTTCCAACACTCTCTGTGGGATTCAAACCCCTTTGGAATCACAATTTAATAGGCAATCCCTCCTTCCCCCTGATTTCCAAGGAGAAATCTGGAAATCTATCTCAGCTGTCAAGTCCATGGGCAGTCTTTCTTAGCAATGGATCTGATGGCCTAAGCCACTGGAGTATGCATTTCCAGCAGGTCCCTCAAAGCCGGGCACTTGCGAACATGGCTAAGGCACGTTGGCTGCACGAGTACATGGAGGTGGTATACGGCGAACTCCTCTTGTCTTGTACCTTACTTGGTTGATTCCCTCTTGAGGGTGAAACAGAAGATTGCCAGGTTTCCAGTATTCAGTCAGACCTTTCAACTGACAAGTGCACTTAATATATGAGATATAAATACACTTTGATTCCACATTTGAGATTAAAGGGGAAGGGGATTATGCATCCAATCCTAACCAGACTGGCACATCTGAAATGTCTGGACCCTCTGCCCTCCCCTGCCTCTATGAAAAGGCAACTTACTTCAAAACAACTCTCACTTTTAGCCCCCTGAGATTAGCCTTTGTCCTGAATGACAACATTGTTCCCCTTCGTAACCATGGAAAAGATAGGCAAAAGTGCTGTGCAGCTTCGGGCTCTGCTAGGGAGGAGTAATGTCACAACGATCCCTTCTCTGTAGAGAGATACATACTTTTCTTCTCTTACCTTTTCCTGCCCTTCCTTTCATGCTTCACTTTGGCCAGGATAGCTCTTTTGCACTGTAGATCAATTCTGATTGGGATGTCATTCCCACCTTATTGGAGGAAAGAAACCTACTGCTTCTATTTAAGATCAGATATGGGATACTAGGGCACACACGTGTCCTTCACAGAAGGATTTCTTTTTCAACCTGTGCCCAGGAAAAACAAATGTTCATTCAGCTCTGTTTTAGGTATAAAAATGACCAGCAAATACTGTTGGGTACTCTCCCTTCCAACACAGTCTCCAAAACAAACCGATCAACTGGGAAAGGAATAAACATCACTATCTCCTCTACCATCCTTAATCCCTTTCTGCTGGGCATCCTCAACTGTTGCATTGCACAGGGAACCAGTATACTTTGTCTCAACTTCATTTGAACAGAGAAACAAGCTAATAATCCTTCATTCAGTTGCCTCTTGACCATTAGGTAACATCCAATACTATAAATGAAACAATGAACAGCCACCTTTATATTGGTTGCAGAGGAAGGTAAAAGTGATTAATGCAACAACTTTATGGGAGGGGAATCATTTATCCCCATGGGAATCTCTGTTGTATTATCTTTGAGGCCCATCATCAGCAATCTAGCTTTGATCTTCCAAAGGTGCGTCTCTGCCACTAGTGATTGCAGGAATTTCTCTTCTAAAAATCTAAGTTGGATGAAGAAGAAAATTCTGCAACTGTCCAAATGAAGAAGATTCTGTAGAGGGCGGTGTCCAATAAGGAAGAAAGATTCCTGCTTCCAACTGTCAGGGTCTCCCAGTTTCTTTATAGGACTGTTTCTACCCCTAGCTGCCAACCCATTTAGAAGCCGTACACTTCCATCCAGCCTGAACATCATTTGCAGGGAATTGCAAGGCCTCTGTACCAGTCAGCGCTGGAATGGAAGGGACGGCTATGTGTTAGAAGGTGCCAGCCACAAAGGGCTTTGTCCTGTTGGCACAGCAGCCAACTCAAAGTGAACATCAATGCAGTCCATCTTGCATCAGAAGTAAGTGAGGTTCTTGACGAGTCCCAATTCAAGCATTTTTTTTATTGCAAATGCCTCATGGGAGACATTGTGCCCTGAAGACTGTGGAACAAGACAACGGAAAGCATATTAGGCTGAGCAGCTTGTTGTTTTTTCACGTTTTAAAAAAGTGAGTTCTCAGATATCGAACATTTACAGAATTATGTAACTGGAGGTGACTTTGGTTGTGATCTAATCCAACTTCTTACACCATAGGAGGCAATGACAGCATCTCAGACAGATCACTGTCCAATCTCTCCTTCATTTGCACCCCAGAAAGAGCCCACTATTTTCCAAGAAAGACCTTCCACCACCAAAACATTTGTACCATCTGAAAGTTTCTCTTGTGATTTAGCCAAAATGTTTTCCGTTCAACTTTGATCCCTTGATTCTAATCTACTGACAAATAGTAAAGGGCGATCAGTATGGCAGGGTGAGGCTTAGTACAATTTGCCAGGAGTTTTCAGCTCTATATATTAAATGGTGTGGCAAGAGGGGATCCTGATGGTGAATTGACCTATTGGTCGGGCATGCAGGTCGTGCCCCACAGATTTTGCGCTATCTTCATGCAACCTATTTAATAAGGTAAGATGCATTTAAAGTTGAGTTCTGGACAGGGAGTGTCTACCTTCCTTTACTTTTTTGGGGGGGGGGGACTCTAGTGCCTACTCACTTTGCCTAGTCAATATTGGGAGTAATGAGTAATGAGGATAAGCCTACTCCGTCATATGTTCTGTGTGACCACACTTAGCTACCTAACTTAAACTCTTATAGCTCCACAGCCTTGTCTTCTTCATGCTAAACATACCCATAGGAATATATTTTAATTACTGTGAAGGAGCAATGGTTGAATGCATAACCAAATCCTTCCCACACTTGTGGTGGCTATCTTTTGCATCCTTACAACTTCTGAAACGGTTTTATTATGAGACTACTGGAATAAGAATTATCTACCTCTACAGGCAGATAATTCTCTGGGTATTACATTTATCACATTTATAAACTTAATTATAACCCTAAGCACACTACTTAGGTATTACAGAGCCTATGTCAATCATAGCGACAGTGGACTATGTGGATCAATAATCTGCTTCTCAGTTTAATAAACAGCCATATGTATAACCCTTTCCTGACACTCACAGCTCTTCCACACCTCCTTTTACCCAAGCTAACAAATAAACCAGAGCATCTTCAATTAACTTTGGCTTTTACATTTACCCACTTTGGGATACTACAGTTAACAGCTTCAAAAAAGGCAGCATACTGAAGCATTTTTTAAAAAGTGGACTTACTCTATTGGCACATTCTGAAGGGGATAACCATAGTTTCCCAGTTCAGTTAAACTGGGATGTGAAGCTATATATGCCATCTCATGCAAAGGAACCAGGTATGTGGACAAAAGGCTAATTTGTCACTTGACCCGTTAAATGGAGATATGAAACCTGAACTCTTTTGGTATGTATAGATTCCTGTCTTCATCAGAAAAGATGAGATGTGGTTACTCACAGCCATAGATTTCACTGTAATTTGCTCGTAGTAGTGAATACTCTGCTTCTTGTTGTCTGAGCTGGGGTATCCAAAGCCAGCAATATGTACCACATCACAGAAGTGCAAGGCTAGGGTGATGGCCACTAATCCTGTGGTTGGTTTCTAGAGCAAGAAAGGTGGGATAATTGATGCCTCCATAGATGATAGTCTGGCTTCACTTAGACTTCAAAGCAAATGGTCTAGTAACCCCAGTTACATTGTCCAAAGAATTCCAAAATTGTTTATTTTCACCAGAAAAATAAATAGATCCTCCATCAATTCATTACCTGTCCTTTTTTAAGAGTAATGTTCAATATCTTCCCCAATTCCCTGCTTTTCATTCTCAGATCAATCCTGGGAGGTAGATCAGAGTGAAAGATGGCAACTAGTACAAGGTTATCTTTGTGGCTAAGTAGAGATGTTAATCTCCCTGAATCTCTTTTGATAAAGAAAATGGAACATAGCAACCTATCTCAAATTATTTACTTAGCTTAATATCATTTTGCTTCTTTCTTTCTTTCTTTCTTTCTTTCTTTATTTATTTATTTATTTATTTATTTATTTATTTACATTTTGTTGCCACCTGTCTCACTGCAGAGTGACTCTGGGCAGTTTACAGTAAAAGTAGAATAAACATTGATTAAAATAGATAAATGTTAATTAATTAAAATATGCTACAATAACAAATTTATGGGGAAATGACTATGCAGGCCATGAAAAGTCTACTCTTTGGCCTTGAAAATTTTTACTCAAGTCCTACTTCATTCTCATGAGGATTTTCTCATTTTTAACCACTTTAATCAGGAATTAACTACACACTTTCCAATAAAAGCATTACAGACTATTCACTTGCTTAAAAAATGAAATGAATGGATGTATCAGGATCTGTTTTCACAGTGTAATTACAGAATCCTGAAGACAATGTAGGTTTAAAAACTGGCAGAAGAGCTCTTCATAAACTTTTAAGCTTCATTCATAGAAATTATCCGACAGTGGTCACATTCATGCAAAACTAAAAATTAAGAAGTGGGAGGAATAATTCTAAGATTTTCAAGCCGCTGATAAAAAGGAAACCACAGCTTGGCCAACCCATTCAAAATAAAAGCCTTTGTAATCTAGAAGCTGCCAGCCTGGAAAGATAGAACAATGCACACAAAGACCAAGACTTTCTTCTCAAATAAGATGAACCCAGGCTGAAGTTCTCTTTGAGGGAACATCCCATGCCTGGACGGCCACACTGCTTCTGGAAACAGATGGGGACACCCACAAATGAAAGCTCCTCCATACAAAAGAGCTCTTCAGACATATAAAAGAACCAGTGACAAAGAAACCAAAGACTTGTTTGGCCAGACCACTGTGCACTCAGATATCTGGTGGATTGTATTCCTTCTCAAAGTCTAGAAGGTGCCTAAATAAGTTTCTGTGGAGGTGAAAAGCCCAGATACAGGATGCACAGAGGCCACAACGAAGAATGAGCAACTTAGGGAGCAGAGCTTAATCCAAGCCATCTTCTGCTAGCCACATACTGTACACATGGTAGTATTGCACATATACATGGTAGTACTGCTGTTCTGAACCAATCTGCTACTCCCATCTTACTGCTAGCGTTAAGCTCTGAAGACACGTGAAATCCAATTAAAAGTCATCCATGTGCACCCAAGGTATTTGGCTGGTTAATTAAAGAAATGGTAATAGTTCCACAATTCAGAGATATTTCCAATTTTAAAAATATCAAAAAAGGAGAAAAACAATTTGTTGACTTCAAATCACACATTCAAATACTCCATCCCTTCATTCCATACTCATACCTCTAATTCTCTGTCTCTCACGCGCACACACACATGCTTATTGCTCTTACCTGTTTAAGCTTCCACAACTGCTTCACTGGAAGCTTAAGCACTTTAGCAGCTGTAACTTCCATAAAATATGGGTTCAGAATTCGCACTTGCTTAGGATTTGCATTCCAAATTAAGGGAGGCTGTTTCCAGAAACCCTTCCGAATCTGGAAAGACAGCAAACACAGGGAAATTAGTCACACACACTTTACTTTCAAATACAACATCAAAGCATGAGAGCTGACCTGGTTAAATAAGGCAGGAAAAAAAAAGGTAATGCAGAAAAGACTGAGCCAATTTCAGGAGAAGTATTTTGATATTTCACCTGGAAACTTGATCTCTCCTTCTTTAGCTGATTTTTCACTCTCTCTGCAGCTTCTTACTATTTGGAGTTAACAATGCTCAGGAAATACAGAATGAACATTCTATGGACTGGTGTTGTGATGTTGTCAGCCCTCCAAGATGGACCAAACGTGGAAACCAAAGACATGTAAGCTAATACTACTTTTATTATAAGGTTATAGCAATGGGATCTTGAAAGTCTGAATATACCCCCCCCCCCCCCCGCCTTATCTTCTTGAGAACTAGGGTGGGTCTTATCTGAGATGCTTTCTCAAATTACATTTCTGCCTCAGACTCAGATTTCTTTTATTTCACGGTTATCTCGGTTGCAGCTCTTCCTCCTTTTCCTCAAGGTTATTCCTTCTGCCTATTACAGATATTCTTCAATCACACAAGGACTCTGTGCAGCAGCATTGTGACCATTCATAAGAAAGGAAATTAGGCAAAGAAAATACAGGTCATCCACATCTACTCAGTGAGCTTGGCTTACGTGAGACCAAAACTGGTGTCCCAGGTTCAACTCCAGGAACAAATCAGTATTTATAACATGCCACTGTGCTTCTGAGGTTAGAAGAAAGAGTTCAGAATCAGCATATTTGCTTTTCTTGGGCATGTGGGACTTGAATCCTTTCCCACAATTAAACACAAAAAAGAAGGCTAACCGCTTACTCTCTTCTTGTCATGGAGAATGGTCTCCATCCACATAAAATCCATGGGTTTGAACGCCACTAACACCAGCAACGTATTGGGGTTATTTTCAGTCTGAGGATTGAAGTGTGCTGACTCGGGGTAGAAAAGTCGCATGGTGGTTTTGCTGCCCACATCACGCTCATAACCATGGACTGGTGCATTGTTCAGTCTGGAGAGAGGAAGAAAAAGGAGGCACACGGTGACACAGAAGGCACAGGGACATGCAATCATGTATCAGCAAATATTCCAACTAGAGGGCACTGATGCAAGAATTGTGGTCACTTGTCGGTAGATTACCCCAGAGCAGGGGACATGGAACATGAGCCCAGATCATGTTCTTTCCTCAGGAATCGGCGTCATAATATTTTTTTAAAAATACTGAGATGTTGATGGAGGCAGCATTCCAGCATCAGACATTTCCACATCAGAACATAAAGGTGATGCCCCAATATCGTCAGGCTCAGGTTTCACATTATGAGTAATTCTCTGGTCCGCTGTGGTATAAATGGAAATCATGACAAAAAAACATCAGCCCCTCTGCTTCTCAATACCTGATCACAACATCGTATTTGTTAATAACTTCTCCCATAGAGCTGTTTCTCAGCCGGTGGCCATTCCCAACTACCGCACATCTCCGGCACTTCAAGCTGCAAAACAGGCAAAAGGGACTTTTAATCCATCACACAAGGATGTTACATTTCATTTTTACAGCTCACAGCCATCACTGCCAAGTGGTCTTCCATGCAGTGAGACAAGCATCTTTTGAACCTATGGTCAATCACTATACAGGTAGTTCTTGGGTTAGGATGGCAATTAGGACCGGAATTGCCGTCGCTAAGTAATGCGGTTGTAAAGCATGATGTCACGTGACCACATTGCTTAGCAGTGACAATTCTGGCAGTTGCTGTCATAAACCCAAGATGTGCAGGTCTTAAGCGAGAAGCAGCAGGAATCCCAGGTATAAGGAGCACAGGGGTGCCATGCGGGGGGTGCTGTGGGGAGTGGGGGAGGCGAGGGGAGGCCTGGTGCAGGCCATGCGCGAGTACTGGGAGGCTGGGAAAGGAGGGTGCCGCGCCAGGCAAGTACAGGGAGGCTGGAGGGACTTATCAACTTACAACCTTCCCTGCCAGCTTCCCCATTGACTTCGCTTGTGGAAAGCTGACAGGAAGGTCACAAATGGCGATCATGTGACTGTGGGGTGCTGCAACCGTCATAAGTGCAAGCTGGCTGCCAAGCGCCTGAATTGCAATCACGTGACTGTAGGGGTGGTGCGACAGCCAGAACTTTGAAGACTGGTTGTTAGTGCCACTTGGGCAGCACCGGCGTAACTTCAAATGGTGGGTAAACAAGGACTCCCTGTACTTTGTGGCAATCAGTTCCACAACCTTATTAGCACGTAGGTTTAGTTTTGTGTATCCCAAATCCATTGTCATTCCATTTAATTGCATGACCCCTTGAGTTATACTGAAAGGGGGGCAGGGAATCTTATCTTGTTTGCATTTTCCATGCCATACACTTTTCCATCTTGGCAACCATTTAATGGTCATCAAAGTGCAATCCTAACTGTTGGAGCTAGCTCTCTGCACTGTGCAGCACCCCACCCCATCCACCAGTCAATGCTTATGAAAATGAACTCTGCCCCTCCATTCCCTATTGTACGGGCGAACAACTTCTGCCACTGTGTTCTCCCGGCAACAGCCATAGTTCTCTGCTTCACCAACTATACCAGCTTGAAATTGACCAAGTGATATAGTTTTTACGCTTAGGTAATGCAATCCTTCAGAACTTAGGCTGCAGTACAGATGATCTGCAGCTTTTCTTTTCTTTATGAATAATCAATTCTGGATTGCTCCAATTTTTTTTAAGCTTTAAATATTGATTTTCTTGTATGCATATATGGATAGAGGCAAGAAATTGGGAAAATGAGATGTCAATGTAAGCAAGGCCTACTTGGTTGATTTCTTGCTCAAATGGAAATTCAAAGAGGTCCATTCCTACCCTTAAGGATCCTTCAGGCTGGTAGATAGAGAATTATTCCACACATCTGTATCTGCCCATCCAATCTAGTTTACTAAAGCCGTAGCTGAGCTGAGGAATCAGTTCTCACACACCTGCCAAACTTATACTGCCTTTTCTTCCTTTTTGGAGTTTTGAGGTTTATGTTTTTGCTTCAAATGCTATAAATGATTTCATTTCCCGCTAAGCAGACAAACCTCTGGCTCAACTCAATGCCATGACTTCATGTCCAGACATTCGATCAAGAACAGCAGCCAGGAAGGCTAATGAATTGGAGAGCATGCGGGCAGGAATTGGGCGGGAGCTGTTGTGCCATTTCCTTCAAACAAACCTTCTACAGGCAAGCTTGAGAGCCACAGGAAGCTGTTTAACAAGTGGATGAAGCCTAACCATGCAATATGCAGAAGTGGTTAAAGAAATAAAGCAGGGAGGGGAAATTAGACCAGAAATAGAAGGGAATGGATACTAGCAAGCTCTAATTGAGAAGCCCTGTCAGGGGTCTTCAATGCAAACTGAACTTCCTGATCTTTAAAGGCTGTAAGGAGTTCGTGTGTTTTCCACAGCGTTGTGATTTTTTTTGATTGCTTTTTTTAAGGAAGCTGAAGAACAGCAGGAACACAGCTCAGTGGATGAACTCAGACTTTGCAAGAAGTAGATCTCTGTTAATTTCCAGTTAAAAGCATCAGGTCCAAGATGATGGGAAAAACTTTTTTCTGCCTGGCACTTTGGAGATCCATTGCCTGTCAGGCTGCAGTTGGTCTGCTTTGCCTTCTGAAACTTTTTAAGTTCATTTTGCTGCCTGAGCTGCCTCCACCCCTAATTTGCACCTCCTACTCACTCAAAGTTTGTGCTCTCCCCAAAACTTGCATCAAAGCCATGAATCCCAGGATACTAAATAGGACCCGAGGATGACCTTTCCACATGTGCATGGCTGATGGTTGCATCTTAGTAAGAGAATGGCAGATTTAACAAAAGGAGACTCTGTACCGGGTGGGTCTGGCAAGTCCTTTTGACACTTAAGTTCATCAACATTCTCTGGCGATATTTATCGTTCATGCCCCAGGGAAAAGCCATTAATCAAATCCGACATTTAACTCTGTTGTGTATATCTTTGCATCTTCTGTAACACAACTTCTTAAACTTACATCTAAACTAGGATCTCTTCCTATATACAGCCTTCCTCTAATCTTCCTTATCTGATATAACTTGGATTTCCTCACTCTCTGCCCTTAAAAATCTTCTTCTTCTACATAACCAGAAGAAACTAAGGAACTCTAAGCATTAGAATCAATCATCTTCTATTCCAAGCAGAATACGACTGCTGATCCTTCAGGGCTATAGGCACGTCTTTGTCTTTTGCACTTTATCTTTGTCTTTAACCACTTTATGTGGTTATCTTTGTTTGTGCGAGTGACTATAGGTGATTCTTGCCTACTGGATATCACTATGTGATGCTCATGGGGACTTTTCAGGAAGCACTTCCATATTTTGGGTAAAGGTAGCTGGTAGCTGAAAGGAAAGGCTCCATTCCAGCCCAGGAGAAGCTTTTTTATTATTGGCACATCCAAGACACGTATATTAGCTTTCCAAGCATCTTCCCCAGCTCCAATGTACTCTCTTAATGCCTCCCATTCTCAGATGAACATTTGTGAAATTGGAGACATTGCTAAAAGACAAGTCTCTAAGTAAGATCTATGCTGATATGACTCCTATAAAAGAAATCTAGGTAATATACTGACATATCCCTTTTATAATTTCTGAAGTTGAAAGTGAAGGAATCAGACCAAATCAGATTCTTTCCAGTCTTGTCCTCTGGTTGTGGCTCAATCCAATCACTTCAGTGAAAGCTTCTGCTAGGACAACCATGGACCAGATCCTGTCTATCGCCCATTATTATGTTACAGAATCTCCTCCTCTTCCTGCCTTGCACTCAGCTCAAAAACAGGGAAGGAAAAAAATATTTATTTTTTATGCCTGACATCTGATGATTGCCCAAATCCTGAAGTAAAGATTTGGTTTTGATTTTTTTTTTTAATTTGCCAAATTGCATAGAACATTTTTACAAATCTTAAAACTTAAAAAAAAGAGAAAAACGGATGAACTGATATTACCTTTGAATGCTTTCAGGAAGAGAGTAACTTGTGATTGCTAGAAGACGTAGGAGAATTTCCTCTGCAGAGCAAACAACACAAGGAGTTAAGAAAGCTAGTTTATATTATCCTGGTTAAGAGATATAGATATTAGGAACAACAGAAGAATCCTAAAAGATCAGACTGAAAGTTCATACATCTTTACTAGTTTTGACCCAATTCCTTATCCTGTCAGGTTGCCTTTGGATCCTATTTTTATCTTGAAAGTATTTAAGTTGATGCCCTTCATATATTCTGGACTGCAACTTCCACAATTCCTTTCCATAAGATTTATTGGCTGGGGCTGATAGAAGCTGATGTCCAAAAATCACAACAAATATCTCCTTAAACCTGTTGCCATCAGCATTGCTAAAATCCAGGTTGAATGGCTGAACATGCCCAAGTGGAATAAATCTCAAGGGGACCTTGTCACTTCCAGCCAAGGTTTTCATTTTACAGTTAGGTTTTTCCTGTTAATCAAGACAAGGCTAAGATAGCTGCTTCTGTTATTCCTTCTTTCACCTTCTAGAAGATGAAAATGCCAACAAGGTAATAAGAATAAATCAGATGTCCTTTCTTAACAGTTTGTTCCCCCAAAGGTCTGGTACTTAACACATTTAAAAAGAGATCCTTGCTACTAAATAATTTAATAAGATATGAAAAGTGCAGCTTTTCAAAACACATTACGTACAGTATTAGGGGGGGGAGGGAATGCTATTTGCCTGTCATTAATTAGTGCATTGGAAAATTAACGGAAATACCAGATCAACACATAGAGAAATAAAGCTATGACTCCATTAAGCAATCAGCAGAATCCAATGCATTTTGAAACACAATGGGCTCTTCATTGAGTGACTCTTGTATACAATGGCAGCTCTGTCTTGAACAAGGAGAAATGAAGACTAGGAAACATTACTGTTCCATCTTTGTATAGAAATCCTTGAACTGTGCTTAGTTTTGGTGTTTATCTCTTCCTGGAAAAATAAGTAAGTTTAATCAATATCTGTCAGCTTTTTGATAACCAACTCAGTGATGTAGCTTATATCTCAGCCTGGGGAGGTTGGAGACAAAATACATTCCTTTGTGATGTTATCGTGGCTGAAATTCCAACCAACAGCAACTTTATAAAGGATCCCTTCTTGTGAAGCAAAAGTGTGCCTCGTGCCTTTATGCCAATTGAAATTGTTTGCTTACTGGAGCAAAAATAATGAAGTTAAAAGGGTCAAGATAAATTGGTACAGGCAAACAGCTGAAATAATTAATACGGTGATTTTTTAAATGGATAAATGTGGCTTAAACATAGATAAAAATGGAATTGTTAACAAAATCATATAGTCGCAGATCACCATGTTATATAAATTCTGCCTTTTTCTTTATCCTGAGATGAAAAATTACTTTCAGAGAGACTAAGCTTTTAAGCCAAAAAAAGGGTCCATAGACATTGACTCCAGATCATACCCACAACAATACTGGTGAAGGGGCTTAAATAACGGTCTCTGAAATCAAAATTCTTTTTTATGGCTCAAAGGCATTTTAAACCTGTATCATAATGTGTCTTTTTTGGGGGGAGGGCAGTGCCTTTGAGTCAGCCTTGACTCCTGGTGACTGCCTATACAAGTCCCTGAAGTTTTCTTGGCAAGATTTCGGAAATGGTTTGCCCTTGCCTCCTTCCTAGGGCTGAGAGGGAGGGACTGGCCCAAGGTCACCCAGCTGGCTTTGTGCCTAAGGTGGGATCTCCTGGTTTCTAGCTTGATGCCTTAACCACTACATCAAACTGGCTCTCATCGTAATATATTGGCATATATTTAATGGAGCTGGTTGGATGTGACAAGGTCATCTTGTAGCTAAAATTAGTCACTGGCCTGAAATTACAAATGTTTTATTTGTAAAACAGAATGTTGGTATATTTCTGGATTTTCCTGTTAATTTCTTTACATTTCGTACTGCCATTTATTTATTTGATTTATATCCTGCCTTTTGTACAGGAGCTCAAGATGGCATATATAGTGCTTCCCCCTCCTAATTCCATAACAACAACCCTGTGAGGTAGGTTGGGATGAGACAGAATGACAGAAGGTGGATTAGAACCTGGGTTTTCTGGCTCCTACTCCAACACCTTAACACTACTCCACACTGGCTCTCTAATGATAATGATAATGATAATGATAATGATAATGTCAAGGAAACCTGATATGTAACAATGATCCCATCAAATCCTTTACAAAATTGCTGAAACTAATTTGAGCAAAAACATGTCATGGACTGGAGGAAGAGACACATTCTGAATGTGTATTAGTTAAATGAAAGATCCATTTATCCAACAAAACCATTGCAAAAATTAATGAAGAGAGAGCACAAAACATTATAGTAAACTTTTAAATGTGCATGCTATTTCAATGTTCTGTTAGGTTACCTGAATTTTTTTTAAAAAGGCAGGTGATCAGAATAAGAGAGAGACCAAGAGACCATAACTGCTTCATTCTTTCTCCACTTCCATCCTTCCTTACCAACACCTAGCTTGTCTACTCTGAGTGCCAGTAACTGTAAATACCAAACAAACTTAGCTAGAGCAGGCAGTGGAGATCCACAGCCTTCACTAAATGATTTGATGGATGCCTTCTCAAATAGTGATTTGAGAGTACAATCTGAAAAGGAAGACATCAAAAGAATTGAATGCAACTCCACTGTGGGGAGCAACATAATTCTGGATCTGCCTGGAGACCATCTGGAGACAATATAGTAGATGCTAAGAGAAATTTAGAGGAGGGCAAAATAGCTAAAAGCTAACACACATGTGCATCAGGTTCAGATCCGTCAGGCAAATGAAACTTAATAGGTTGGGCAATAATCCAAACAGGCATTAATAAATGAGGGTGAAAATTGTCCAACAAAACCAGACTCAAGATAGAAACAAGATGAAAATAGAAGCTTTATGGTAAGGAGGAAGAGAAGGAGACATAGTTTGCTTACCTGTTCCTTTCGTACCATAAGGCAGTTCATAAAGTGAGGGGGTCTTTACCCAGAAGTAATCCTTTAGCTGTAAAAACAGTGGAGGATCCCGTGTGTAACTAAAGTTAAGGAAGAAAAGATGATGATATGATTCAAGGACTGCTGGCAGCTTCTCTATTTATCTTTCCTTTCTTATTTAGCAATCCTAACCCCCACTATACTCCTTCTCCCTTGAAGTCCAAGAAAAGTAAGTAGAAAAGTTCTGTAATGATCTCATTCCTCCAGCAGACAACTAGGCCTGTTACTCACTTTGATATGAGTTGTGCAGCTTTCTTTTCTACCTCTCTGAAAGGACAAGTCATCTTGTCATCTTGGAAATGGAAATCAAAACTAGAAGACAAATGGCAAAGAGGGGGAAAGTGGCATTATCATCATCATCATCATCATCATCATCATCATCATCCCGAAACATCTGGAGTACCACTTGAACACTATCGGCATTGACAAAATCACCATCAGTCAATTGCAAAAGGCAGCTTTATCTGGAACAGCTTATATCCTGCGATGATACCTCGAATGTTATTTTCCTGCTCCAGTCTGCTAACAAGCAAGTCCACAATGGTCTGATAAACAACATCTGACTCCAAAGCAGGAATATAATTTGAGTAAGGATCTCAAAATAAAGGCAGGGAGGGATGAAGCACATTCAGACTTGCAAGATTCTGTTATTGTAACTTTACAATAAAAGTAGTACTAGTATTCATGATTTTAGTTTCCTAGTCTGGACTACCTCGAAATCTGACATCAATCTTGCAAGTCTGAATGTGCTTCCCTCCTCCTTTCCTTTATCTTCATGAAAACTAGGGAGGGTCTTGTCTGAGATGTTTATTTGGATTATGGATCTGGCCCAGACTCAAATTTCTTTTATCAGTTGTCTTGGTCGCAGCTCTTCCTCCTGTTCCTCAAGGTTATTCCTTCTTCCCATTACTCAGAGTGTGCAAAATCCTGTTGTTGGACTAGCTGATAAATTTTTGCATTATTTTTATAATTTTATTGTTATAAATAATGAACAAAGTCTTGGACTTCTTGAGGAAAAGTGGGATACACATCTAACAAATACATAAAGCCTACTGTTGAAAAGGCCATTGATGAACTGTATAGAAATCCATTAATTAAATAATCCATTTTTTTGTTTGGGAAACAGCCATTCAGTGAAAAAAACACATATCATGACATGGCGCTGAAGGTAGTGGAAGAGGAAGAGGAGAGGGAATATGTGAATCGACCCTCATTCACCTCTAAAATCCATGGAAAGCTCATGAATGGCTGAACAAAAAATGGAATAGTTCTTGGTCAATATATATTTAAAATACATATTTTAGGTCAAATATTTTAGGTCAATATATATTTAAAACAATATATTTAATATAAATAAATTATTATATCACTTTTAAAAAACTGGTTGCTTTTATTTTTAAAGAAAATTAGCCACACAGAGTCCCTATCTAGAATATGTTCCTTATCTAACAGGGATAGCAGCACTGTGGCCTATCTTCAATTATCTCACTGCTGTTGTTCACAAGGGGAGACATCACATCCTGAGTAAGATCACTACTTTGGTGTCTCAACAGATTTATGTGAGATCATGTGTTCCTTGTAGTGTAGTGGCAATGAAGTTGGACTAGGACCAGTGATACCCAGATTCAAGTCCTTTCTCAGTCACAGACGTTCACTAGATGACTTTGGGCTAGAACCTCTCTCAACCCAAGAGTTGGTGAAGTATAGTGATGAAGGTGTTGGACTAGGACAACAAAGATCCAAATTCAAGTCCATCATCAGCCATGGAAGCTTCCTGGGTCTCAGCCTCTATGCTGGGGGACCTTGGGCCAGTCACTTTCTCTCAGCCCAATCTACCTCATAGTCTAATTGTTGGGAGGGGGGGAACAGTAGGAGGGAATGCTATATATGTTGCCTTGAGCTAATAAATACTGTATATACATATGGTCTCCACTTTCAAACTGTGTTAGAAATGGACTAATAAACAATAATAGAGTTTAGGATTCAGAACAGAAATCATCCCTTCTATGTAGCCTGGCCAAAAATTCTCTCTCTCTCTCTCCCTCTCTCTTAAACTGGCTGAACATTCTGAACAATGGCTTCTAGTTGGTATTGTCCATATAATACACCTATCCTGGAAAGGAGATAGGGTAAAGAGCAATAAACATCCTGTGTCCATTTTTTTTAAAGAAATACACTCACAGCTGTATATACCTTTCTTCCCGGGATATCGTATACCACACCATCAGCAAAAATATAGCCAATACTCCAAGTATCTTCCATCCTGAACAAAGAAAAGAGTAGGCAAGGTGTTAACCCTGAGTCCTTCAACAGGGGAATCCTTCAACTGTAAAACAGATACTCTAAAATATGGAAGAGAGGGGGAGAGTTAGTTTAGTAAATTTGAATGAATAAATGAATGAATGAATGCGCATGGCTTTTCAATGCTGGGAAAGAGATCCATATGGAATTTGTAAGCTTCTGCTTCCCACTTTAAATGAGCAACTAGCTGCTGCTCTGTCTGTATTTATGAATGCAGTTCAGTTTAAAAATGGCTAGCTCAAACCAGCATCAGAAACCACACTTGGACTTGGCTTGTTGTAATCAATGGCAAACACAACGTACAGGTCCAGATAACAGGACAAGCAATGAGACTAAGGCAAAGCTTACTGCATTCTGCCTACTGTGTGCACAGAAGGAGAAAAAGGAATGAGGGTGCGTGAACTGGAGCCACCTCTGCTTTGAGCCATCTTGAAAAAGATGTACAAATGGCCAAGACTTGGTACTCTGAGGGGAAAAAAAGGGAAATGAAATCTAACACCTAAGCAAAAACTAAGGTATTTCTCCACTGATATTTCTGAACCAATAAAAGAAGTACATCTGTAAACCAAAGTCTAGCTTAATTTATAGCATCTACTGTTCTTGCCCTCCCAGTTTTGAGATACATTTTAAAAGATGAAATTAAAAAACACATGACTCTCCTCTAATTTCTCTACAATGTTGAGAACAGAGAGTCTAATTTTATTTGGGTGCCGCCCACTCACTAACACTACAGCTGTGTATCCACCATTAATTCTATAAATCACAGGGCAGGAAAAGAAAACTGAACAGATGGGTTGGATTATCATCCTGGAGCTCCAGAAATGCCGTTAAGCAACCTATTTAAAAGAAGATTATGTAGTGCCTAGCAAATTAACTCCTCTAAGTACTTCATCCTGGCAGAACATACTGAACTTGGTTAATCCATTTTCTGGGTTTGTATAAGTAGATTGAACCATAAACTAACCTAACAGGCTGGGTTCATAAACATACCACACAGAAAATGAAAGGAAAGAGAAAGAGAAAGCTAATGTATGAACTCAGCTTAGCTTGCTGTGCGAATGTAAAGTCTTTAGATGACCTTGTGCAGTGTTCTCTGTGAACCAACTCATTAGTTGTCAACCTGAATTCCACAGAGCTTTAATGCTAGGTAATGCTAGCACATATGACATTCATCCATTTATTAAGGAGTTAATTAATCCATTATTCCTATTCTGTAATGACTTATAATTATAACATATGTTACTTGAAATGGTAAGTTCTGGTATTATTTATAATGGTTTGCTATTATTTATAGTGGTTTGTGGTCTGGATCTGTTATGAGTGCTGGTAGACTGTTCTTCCTCTGTTACTAAATAGGATAATCTAGTGATTACAGAAACTACCTGCCTTTAATCAATTAAGTAAGTGTTTTTATCAAAGCCTTAACATAGGTGTCTTTTACTCCCAATTCCATATCAATATTTAAATAGTTACTAACTCCAGCAATCAAAATGTGTTCTGTTGTTTTTAAATGCTTTTCTTCCTTGCTTTTTTCACAATTTGGCAAGGAAATAGATATGTTTTTTCTAACATTTTAACAACAAATACATTAAAAGTACTCCAGCTGTTCAGGAAAGAAAAAGAATGATATAACATATGTACTTTCTGAACTGAATATTATTACAGTGGTCAAGTCTGATTGAGCAAATGACCAGCAAGAGATCGTACCTCAAAAAGGACATAGTGGAACTAGAGAAAGTTCAGAGAAGGACAACTAAGATGATGAAGGGGCTGGAGCAGCCTCCCTATGAGAAAAGGTTGTAACATGTGGGGCTTTTTAGTCTAGAAAGGAGGCAAATGAAAGGCGACATGACTGAGGTGTACAAAATTAAGCATGGTGTGTATAAAGTGGACAAGGAGAAGCTGATTTCCACTTCCTAAAATACTAGAACCAGGGGTCTCCCAAAGAAATTGAATCTTGGAAGAATCAAGACAAACAAAAGGAAATACACTTTTATACAATACATAATTCAACTGCTACCATGCGATGCGGCGCTAGATACCAGCTAAGCTGTCTTCAAAAAAACATTGGATCAATGTATAGAAGTCATGGGGACCAATGGCTATTAGCCTTGATTGATGTGTGACCACCTATGAAGGCCATCTGCTGGGAGACTCATGGCCTTCCTTGTGCAGTTAGTTGGCCACTGTGAGAACAGACTACTATGGACTAGATGGGGTCCAGGCGTCCAATCCAGCATGGCACTGCTTATGATAAATTTACTGCAGTTTCTCCCAGGATCCTGGAAAGAATCAGTGTAAATGCATTTGGATCTGGGTATAATCACATCACATATTTAAGTTCCTTTTGAACTTAAATAGTCAAGTAGATCATTTTTAAAAACATATTTCTTTCCTCTTTTCAAATTCTGTACAAAGGAATGTAAGGTGCATTACGTGGTCCAATCACAATAGCACAGAAAAAGAGAAAAGGCTGCTTTATAGCAAATGAATCTGAGAATTTGAGAGGCTGAAACAAAGAACACAAAAGTGTAATTAACAATGTACCTATCTGTGTACATTTTAGTAAATAGCACTTACGTTGATATGATTTTGACACAAATGCAACTCCTTGACTACATGCACACATTTTCTTGGCAACAATATATAAGTGGCTTGCCACTGCCTTTTTCTGAGGTTTGTATTTATTTATTTGACTTCCCAGTCTATTCCTGGAATATTCTGGTGTCCTCCCATCCAAATACTAACCAGGCTGGATTCTGCTTAGCTTCCAAGCCAGACAACATCAGCCAAGTGCTGATACTGGCTGAGATTGTGTGGATATGTCTTGGTCTTTAATAATACAGTATTTTCAGATGTTTATTGATACTGCTGTTCATTCTGATCTATTGGGAACAATGCAAGTAAATATTTGTAACTGAAAAATGAAGTCTTGTATCCAGCAAGGTACCATGCAACTGGAAAACAATTTGTACAACTAAGCATTCCTTTCTCTTTCTCTGCCCTGCAATAT